AGTAAAGTTTAGGAAATGGTGAGTTGAATCCATGTGACTCAGTTTAAAAGATAAAAACATTTATTCCTTACACTGTATATACAGAAAATGAGGAAGATTTCTGATAACTTTCTACAGTTTTCCTGTATTGATTTTGCAAATTGCGGAAGTATCTAGTCTGTATGCTTCTCTGAATTACCAGTTGGTCCCTCAAATTCCTGAACTTTGCAGAACTAGAAAAAGTTTGTTTAGTAATGCCATTTTCCAGCACTTTCCAGCGCTGTGCTCTTTCATGCAATAGCCACTGGCCATATGTGACTGCTTACATTTTAATTTTAATTCATGAATATCAAATGAGATTTTAAGCTTGATTTCTCAGTTGCACTAGCCACATATGAAGTGTTCGGTACCACATGCGACTGACAACTGCTATACTGAACAGTACCAGTATAGAACATTTCCGTCATCCCAGAAAGTTCTATTGTACAGCACCATCAGGAGTCTTGGCACCTCCAAAAGTAATGCTTACCCCTAAACATCACCTGAAAGGTAGACCAAGAAGCTCTAACAGCTGCCTTTTGGCAGGCTGCTCCTTCTCTAAATTCCAACAAAGAACTAACTTAAGGACTTATCAGGACCTTTGTGCCCTGATGAAAGCCAGCATTTACATACAGTCCTCTCCTGTAGTAAGGGGTGGTACAGAGGCCCTAAGTCAGCACATCAGCCATGGGCTCCAGCTACTCAGAGCAGTAACCCTGGTGTCTGAAAGGCATGGCTGATTCTGAAAACTTACTCCAGTATAAACAGTTCCATAGATAATAATCGGAAGTGATTTAGATCTTTCTCCATTGACTTTACAAAGAGATTCTATTAGCTTCTGATTCTGAAATATAGGACATATTACTTCCTAAGTTAGGCTTTCTAGCTATTGTGTACATTCATAGACCATCTTTATAAAATACTTTCACACAGTCCAAAAAGATTCCTATGATATCTGTTCTGTGCAGTTGCTCTTAAATATAGTCCTATCTACTACACTTGCAAGTCTCATTGTTAACCTTCTTCAGAGGAGATAGCATAGCTAACTTTGGTCAGATGGCCCAACTTATGTGATAAAAAAAAATTCCTGTTTTTAGACCTGCATCTGATTTTGTTTGAGTATCCTACACACATAGACTGTGCTGACTCTACTGAATGATAGCATTGCTTGTGACTATATGGGCAGAGCTCGGGAACTCTGATGTAATTGAGCCTCTCCCCTCATTATCTAGGGCCTATTTCTTACATGTAATCAACCCAAATCCTTTAACACTTCTACCTTGAAATGATTTTCCAGCCTTCTGGATCATCTCTGTTCAGCCCCAACCTCTCCAAGTCCTTCACTCTTTTTAGGGCTTGAAGTTCAGTGCTCTGAACCCTAGTAAGATGATCCTTTCTCAAATCCTTATGTCACCTGTGGACTTGTATAGCCCTGTGATGGGTTTTGACCCCTTAGTATATTACAATTTGACTGTGTGTTATTTTGCCACTTGGGTGCAAAGCCAGTTATTCTCTGTGTTATCTCAAACTTGTGTGTCTTGTATCTAGACTTTTTAAAATGTACCTCCCTGCTGTTGTGCCTATCAGACCCCATGGTGCTTGTTTCTGAGCTCAGGGAGCACCGAAAAAGGGAGTATTAGCCCTTAGCAGTGGCTTCAAGTCAGCAAGTCCTCCTGTGTCTTTCTTAATAACTCTGTTGCCTCCTTAGAGGCACCTGGGTAGCTCAGTCGGTTAAGCATCCAACTTCGGCTCAAGTCATGACCTCACAGTTCATGAGTTCGAGCCCCGCGTCAGGCTCTGTGCTGACAGCTCAGAGCCTGGAGCCTGCTTCGGATTCTCCATCTCCCTTTCTCTCTGCTCCTTCCCCACTTGTTCTCTGTCTCTTTCTCTCTCAAAAATAAATAAACATTAAAAAATTATTTTAAATGACTCCATTGCCTCCTTAAGTGCATTCAGTAGTTCAACTTAGTGGAAGTCTGCGCCAACTGTTTTCTTGTTTTCCACTTCCTTAAATGAGACACAGAATCATCTAACGGAGCATTCCATTTTGATGTTTGACATACTAACAATAGTTAAGATTGAGTTGAGAATTAATTACTTGTAGTTCTCTTTTTTTTGAATTTAGAATCTGCCTAACTTGCTTAGTCCAAAATTGCATCTTTAATGCTCGTTATCTTAGCAGACTGAATAGTCTTAACTAACAACTGTTATGTTTCACTCTCAGAACATTCTAACATTTCCCTTCTAAATTAAAGTAGGTAGAAAATTTCTTTGTCAAAGATGTAATAAACTGGGAAGCTTGAAGAACTACCTGTATAAGATCTAGACTGGTGTTGCTGTACCCACGGTCTCTTTCATAGCAATAATGTAGTACAGGAGTTGGCACACTATGGCCTGGGTGCCCAATCTGGCCCATCGCCTATGTTCACATGTAAAGTTTTATTGGAATATAGCAGTGAACATTCGTGTACACATTGCCTGTGGCTGCTTTCACGCTACGATGGCAGAAGTGAATTGTGGCAACCGCAACCATATGCCCTACACACCTAAAATATTTACCGTCTGGCCCTTTACAGAAAAAGATTTTTGACCCCTGGTATAGTAAAAGCCCTTGCACTTGGGAGAGTAGTCAGAGGACCTCCATTCTGTCTACTCTTGATTTTATCTCTAAGTTGGCAGCGACCTTAACAGGTTGCTAAGCCTCTCTGGACCTCAGTTTCCTCATATGCAAAATGAGTCTCTTAGAATGAATCATCTCCTAAGGTTATAATTCTATAAATCCATAAACTGCTTTGGAACCGTTTTTGCTGTTTTACATAATAGCTTTGCATTGAATATCCAAACCACATGCAGTCACTGAGTTGAGAGAACTAAATAAAGAAAACTGCTAACCATAAGATAAATTAGGAACTTGCTACTATTGTTTTAAAAGAATTTACCTCTCAAGGCTCTTTGAAGCAGTGCTTTCCTGGAAAAAGTTATTTCTAGATCTTTGATCACAGTAGTAACTAGACCATGCCTTGAGATATAAACCCACCATATTAAGAAACTCTGTTGAACTTCATTTGGAAATAAAAATAAAGCATCTCTAAAATTTAGTTTCAGTGTGTGGGAAACTTTTGATACATAAAAATTCCATTCCCACCCAGCTTTTTAGGGAACATGTATATATGTAAAATGAAATAAGCTTCTACTATAGAAAGAAGAACTCAACATTCTGTGCTGTTTTTTTCATCGTGGTAGCTGACTATAAAATTCCACATAAGGTCCTCTCATATATTAACCCTAGACTTTCAGAAGTCTGAAAAGTTGGGGCTCCTGCCTGGCTCAGTCCGAAGAACTTGAAATTCTTGATCTCAGGGTTGTGAGTTCAAGTCCCACATTGGGTGTAGAGATTACTTAAAAATCTTTAAAACAAAAAACTAACAAGTTGCTTGGGATGATATCATCAAGAGCACTTCTCTGTTTTTTGCCCTTCCCTTTCTGCATTCAGTTCAATTCAACTTATATTTGTAGAAAGAAACCCTAACACGACCCCCCCCCCAAAATGAAACTTGTAGAAATGTGTTTCTTTTAGTGTTTTCATATATTTAATAAATGCCTAAAAAGATTTATCTTTCTGGGTCGCCTGGGTGGCTCACTAGGTTAAACAACTGGCTCTTGATTTTGGCTCAGGTCATGATTGCCCAGTTCATGATATCAAGCCCCATGTCGGGCTCTGTGCTCCTTCTCTTCCTGCCCCTCCACCACACGTGCCCCGCTCCTTTCTTTCTCTCCCTCCCTCTCTCTCAAAATAAATAAACTTAAAAAAAAGATTTATCTTTCTTTTCAGAAAAATCCTCAAGTTCAGTATTTAAAATGTAGACTACGTAAGTGATTGAATCCTTAAACTACCTAAATGAGTAATTCCACCTCGACCAGCAAAAGGCTATGCTCACGTTCTAGCTCTATATTACTAAGCTTAGTGACAGTTTGCACTTACAAAATGCTTTACGGTTCACAAAACACTTTCATATACATTACAACTTTTGACAATCCTGTAAGGTAAGTTATGTCATTTTTAATACTGACTCAGGTAGTATCAGGCAGCTGGAAAGTGGACCAGCCAAGGAACATACCCAGATATTCTGACTCCCACCTAACAGTCGCACAATTGAACAGTTTCACAAAACAACTCATATTGTTCTAATTGTTACTGAAACAATTCCCAACATTTCTCCACCCAGCAGTCCTAAGGGATGTCACACACTCCAGATGACAGTAATTCTCAACGAGGAATCAGGGCAACCTATGCATGTTGTTTACAGAGTCACCTATAGGGGCGCCTTGCTGGCTCAGTCAGTGGAGCGTGCAACTCTTGAGCTCAAGGTTGTGGGTTTGAGCCCCATGTTGGATAGAGAGATTACTTAAAAAATAAAATCTTTAAAAAAAAATAATAAAAGGAGTTACCTGTAGTTGGTTCTGCTGTATGGCCTGATTGATTGAGAGTAACACATAGTCACTGTTAACAAAAAGAGGGGGGGCAGAGATTTTAAAAAAGGAAAAGTGACTCTTTCCTACTTCCCAGAGATAATGCTATTAACATTTTGGTATATGTTTGGTCTTTTTATCTATATTAACCTCTTTTCCCAAACATGAGGTCATACTACAGATTGTTTTAAAACCTTTTTTATGTAACTCACAAGCATCTTTCTGTTTTTTTAAACATCCTTCGGCATCATTTCGTAGTGTCTGCAGAATATTTCATTTTGTGGTATGTGATTGAGTTCAAGATGTAAATGGTTTCATGGACCTTCCCAATCCTCCCCGGTGTTTTCGTATATGCCCATGTGATTAATTTGAAAGAATCAAACTCATTTAAAAGCTACCCCTCTTCTAGTTGTCACCTCTTACAGGTTTGACTTTCTGAAAATCCTCATATTTGTTAATGAACTTTTTTATATGTATGTGTTTTAATATTTTTTCCCATGTTTTTGTTTTAGGGTGCAGTACTAGCAGCTGTGTCAAGTCACAAATTCAACTCGTTCTATGGTGACCCCCCCGAAGAGTTGCCAGATTTTTCCGAAGACCCTACCTCCTCAGGTAACTGGATCATTCGTTCATTAACCAGTGTGAATTATTTGGTGTCTACATCCTTTCTCTTCCACTGTAAATAAACTTTTCCTGTGAATCTAGTCAGATCTCCCAAGGAATTCTGAGGAAGTTTGTCAATAACCAAATTCCATCCATATGTGTCTGCTTCCTTTTAATTTTACTACCGAAGCTGCTTTCCCCTGCTCTTCCAAAACCACCATTTCTCTGTTTTCTTTTTACCTCAGAAATACTTCTTCCCTTTTTCCCACTCCAGACCCAACATCGCAGTTCATCCAATCCAATATTGTAGTCAGTCTTTTTGGATCTTTCTTATTACCTTACACCCCAACAAAAAACTTTATTATTTTTAATGTTTATTAATTTTGAGAGAGAGCATGCATGAGCAGGGGAGGGGCAGAGAAAGGGACAGAGAGAATCTCAAGCTCTTTCAGTGCAGAGCCCAACTCAGGGCTCAAATGCACAAACTGTGAGATCATGACCTGAACTGAAATCAAGAGTTGGGCACTTAACCAACTGAGCCACCCAGGCGCCCCCAACAAAAAAACTCCCGATACAAGATTTTCCCCTGTCAACCATGGCAGATCAGACCTTGGGACAATATTACTTTTAATTTTATCTTTCAATGTAAATGTGTCGTGTGAATAATCTCTCAAAACAACTTACAAGTTCCTCTCTTTTTTATGACGCCTATAACACATGTATACAAGCATTCATAGGAGAACACGAAAGGGTTACCTATTTGGATCAAATAGGTACTCCTGGGGGCGAAAAACCCACTGTTCAGAAAATTATTTTATAAAGTGCTCAGATTTCCATTTTATTAGTGAGGTATTCTCAAGGATCATTTATTAAAAATTTGTGGTATCCTGGGGCGTCTGGGTGGCTCAGTCAGTTAAGGGTCCTACTTCAGCTCAGGTCATGATCTCACAGTTCGTGGGTTTGAGCCCCGCATTGGGCTTTGTGCTGACAGCTCAGAGCCTGGAGCCTGCTTCAGATTCTGTGCTTCCCTCTCTCTCTCGGCCCCTCTCCCACTCGTGCTCTCTCTGTCCCTCACAAATAAATAAATGTAATATTTTAATAATAAAAAAATAAAAATCTGTAGCATCCATTTATACGTTTATATAAATGCACATATGTGTGTGTTATACTTTCAAAATTTCATTTATGTATGTATTTACATCTGAATCCTATGCCCTCCACCCTGAGCTTTTCTCCCTTCTCACATTAGAGTCCCTCAGTATCTGCCATGTGGTTGCCTTTGTGCTATTGGTTTGATGTTTGTACTTTTGGGCTGACTCATTCGATGTTCGGTTTATTACCATTGGACTCCAGAAGCATTCTCACATCCATTCTCCCTTTATTGCTAGTGGTGGTCCTTCACCACTATGAGCATTCGTCAGTATTTCTGCTTCTTCCTTCCCTGTGTTTATACACGTATGTGCACAGACAAGTTCTCGTGCACACGTTTTCTTACCAGTTGGTATGTGCTTCTTACACCTGGTGGAAAAGAACGGGATTGAGTTTCCCCAGTACAGCCACTGTGTAGTTCCTCATTTTGACCTTCACCAATTGGGATGTGAATCTTCCTCTTTTGAGTGAAGGTGATTTCCAAAAACATTCAGAAATGGGAATCTCAGAAAAGAGACTCTCTGAAGAGAAAGCCTTGCTGGTTTCCTCTTGCTCTGACTTTGTGATTATCCAGAGCCCTTACCACATGAAAGGCAAGGCTGTAGTTACGTTTATAGGTACACTCCCCAGCTCCCTGTTGCTTCATATCTGTCTTTTTTTTTTTTCCCCTTCCAGTCCATTTTGTTCCCTCCACCTATAGCACTGGGGTTGGTATTTGTTAGCTCAAAACATCTCCCTTCCCTCCACACTGTTTACAGTAGACCCATCTAGTGCGAGTGGACCCAGTAATGGTGTTAAGTCATATTGTGACTACATGATGCAGCCACAAACTTGGACTATATTGAGACGTTTTCGGTCAAGATCTAATACCATTTTCATCTTAAAATCGGGTCTGGGAAGCAGTATGATCCTTGAAATAGCTTCACAGACCTGACCTTTACTATTGCTTCTTAATATGTATCTCTGCCTGGTGAGAGTTTAATGAGCTTTTAAGTGTTCCTTTCTGTTAAAATGTCAGATTTTTCTTTTAGGGAAGGAATTGTCCATAGTTATAGCATGCTTAATTTTCCATCAAATACATTTTTATTGCCCAGTTTTTTGTTTTTCAGTACAGTCTGTAAGTGATATGGTCGAAATAGCTTCTGACTACAGCATTTGCTTTTTAAACAAAAATGAAATTTCCCCCACCGTCTTGTGGGTAGCCTGCTAGCTCGTGAATTAGTTGTTCACAATTTCACATTCCCTCTTGCTTCCCTTTCCTGCAGTCACACCTTTTTTTTTAAATTTCTGGATCTTAATGATCTTGTAAGCAGTCTGTATCTTCATTTGACATGCAAATGTCCGTCTCAAAGACAACAGAACATTTTGAAGAAAATTCTAATATTTTCCTAATTAACACATCTGTATTTTCAGTTTCCATTTCATTTTTGTTTTTTAATATTTCCATTTTCCAGCCTAAATTCTTGTCTGTTTAACCCTAATCTTTAAATTCTGCATCATTTATTTTAAGTTGCAACATTAATCTGTCCACCACCTTTCTGTTTAAGTTTGCATGGGCTTGTTACAGTCCAAGACACAAAGCACCTTTCAGCATTACCTGAAAGTTCTTGCAAGTCTGTGGCAAAAAGAGAAAAATGATCAGAAAGCATGTGCTTAGGGGCGCCTGGGGGGCTCAGTCAGTTAGGCGTCCGACTTCGGCTCAGGTCATGATCTCACGGTTCATGAGTTTTCACCCCACGTTGGGCTCTGCACTGGCAGCTTGGTGCCTGGAGCCTGCTTAGTGTTCTGTTCTCCCTGTCTCTCTGCCCCTCCTCTGCTTGTGCTGTGTCTCTCCCTCTCTCTCAAAATAAAAAACATTAAAAAAATTTTTAATTAAAAAAAAGAAAGCATGTGTTTGTAGGGCGGGGATGGGGAGCTCCAGGGAAGGAGGGGTTACAGACAGTCACCAACCGCCATTTCTTGAGAATGACAGTCTGTTTTTTAATCTTTAGATAATGCCTGTTCTGTTCTTTCTATGCAATAATAATAAATAGTTTGTTTTCTTTAATGACCTTGCTTGACAAAATTAAAAGATGACTATCCTATTTTGGTTCCTCCCCCCAAATTCTATTTAAAATCACAATTTTAAAACAAATTTAAAATTCAGCCTTTTCCCCATTTGTCATCTAAAGAAGAGTCCAGCATGTTTAGGTATGCTACTACATTGTAAAACAATTTTTATGTAAGAGATTTTTTTTTTCTGTCTTGATTATCAAAATCAGCCCATTATACATTCACTAGAATTTGATGAATTTAATCACATGATGAAGAGTATATCTTGCCTTTGTTACTTACTTATCCAAAGTTGAAATCTTCTTTTCTCCTATTTCAAATCAAAGAAGTGAGAATATGAACCCAGTGTGGTTTTCTTGTTTGTTTTTAAAAATTTTTTTAATGTGTATTTATTTTTGAGAGAGAGAGAAAGAGACAGAGCATGAGTGGGGGTGGTGCAGAGAGAAAGGGAGACACAGAATCCAAACCAGGCTCCAGATTCTGAGCTGTCAGCACAGAGTCCGACAAGGAGTTCAAACCCACAAGCTGTGAGATCATGACCTGAGCCCAAGTCGGACACTCGACCAACTGAGCCACCCAGGCGCTCCTCGATTCCAGTGTTTTAATGACTGAAGTCCTTAACAGTCCCAGGGAATGCACTCATGGAACACAAGGATTCACTTTGGGCTCTGCTGGGGGACCGTGTTTCTTGTGGCTCATCTACGGGGCTCAACCGTAGCTCAATAACCTGCTTGCTCTAAAATCATACTGTTTGTTGTTTGTCCATATGCTGCCTTCCTCCTTAGGACTTCTAGCAGCAGAAAGTAGGTATCCCTTTGTTTACCTCTAAGCTTTATCTTTTGTGCAAAAGTGTTTGGCTTTGCATGGTTCATAAGCGGCTTGACTTTTTCCTTGGCTGTTTGTGTTTAGATGTTTGATTGTGAATTTTAACACTGCCTGACTGCAAAATCAAAACGTGGCTGTATTGATTTCCTGAGGCATTACCATACAAATAATACTAACTTCTCACTTTCATAAGAGGAAAACAGGCAGTGTTAAAATTTTAACTGCACTTACCTCACATCTGAATTTCAAGCACGAATACAGTCATTTCGGGGGAAAGGGTAACTTTTTTTTATAGTTTTGCTTTCAAGAAAACTTTCAGGGTAAGTGAATTTTCCTTTGACGATCACATAAACTATAAGCAATTTTCACTACTCTCTCTTACTGACTGAATTTTTAGTTATTTAATATGGAGCTGTGGAATAAACTGAATTCATGTGTCTCAACAACTTTTACCACCAGGAAGGCCATTTACTGACTAATATAATGGCTAGATTTTAATTACAAACGGACATAATTTGATTATGTGACAATATTAAAGTAAAAAATAGGTAAGAAATTAGCACACAAATGAATACAAGTAAGATTACGGCAATCTGAATAAGATGGGTGGATTATATCAGTGTCTATATTCTGGCTGTGATGACACGATAACTTTGTAAAATGTTGCTAACAGGGACACTGAGCAAAATATACAAAGGATCTCTGTATTTCTTATGATGGCATATGATCTACAATTATTTCAGTAATTTCCATTAAAACAGTAAAATAAGCCTTTCCCTCTAAGTTGTGCTTACTGGGGGGAAGTATATAAGAAACAAAAATAAATTAGAAAATCTGGATGCTAATAATTGCATACATTGTCATATTCTCTTGCATTTGTTACTCGTAGCTCCAGTTGCAGCTGATTTAATACAAAAATCTCACAGTGTGTAAGTTATCTGTTGCTGTGTAACAAATCCCCTCAAAGCAGGATTTATCCTTTC